TCGATGGAGAGATTATCGACGAATTTAACGTCCAGGCATATCGACAGCAGTTTTCACTTGTGTCGCAAGAACCGTGAATACGCTTGTGGTGTTAATCTTTGGTGGAGAGAGCTGACTACTTGTCTTGCAGACTTTATACGCGGGAACTGTCCGCTTCAATATCTTGCTCGGGTGCCTCCAAACCAGAATCTGAGGTCACACAAGAAGATCGAGGATGCCTGCCGCCGTGATGCCAATATACTAGATTTTATTCAATCACTTCCAGAGACCTCAATTCTACGCACACTCGAGGCTTACTGACATTATAACAACAGTGGGTTCAATACCGAAGTCGGTGGGAAGGGATCCCAACTTTCGGGGGGTCAAAAACGTGGGCATCATTCATTGAAGATGCTTTTCTTTGTGCTGAAATCACGATCCAGAACGTATAGCAATCGCTCGCGCACTGCTTCGGAATCCAAAGGTTCTTCTGCTCGACGAAGCTACATCAGCTCTTGATTCAAACTCGGAGAAGGTCGTGCAAGAAGCTCTTGACAAAGCTGCTAGAGGTCGTACCACCATTGCTATCGCCCACCGCCTTTCGACCATCCAGAACGCTGATCGCATGTGAGTTAATCGAGAGCTGGCACACGTGATTATTTTCTCATTACTTTTCAGATATTTCATCAAGGAAGGCAGAGTGAGCGAATCTGGAACCCACGATGAGCTTCTTGCGCGGAGAGGAGATTATTACGAGTTCGTACAGCTGCAAGCACTCAGCAAGAAGTAGTGGAAATTTAATAACGCCCGATGCCCCCACTTATTAATTAATTACGATCTCATACGAATCCCCTTCTAGAGCGAATAAATCATTCCAGCTTTCTGGAGCCTTGAAAAAGACACAGGACCTAGAGTTCAGTACTGTGAGTCTGGCGGTTCATCGACTATACAATCATGCTTGCCACAGACTCGAATGTTTGAGCGCCCGCGTCGTCATCCTAATTCAATTCAAACACCAACTCTTGTGCCCAGAAGCTGTGTGCCTGTGCATCAGGTGACAGGTCTGAGTGATTTAACCGACCTCACTTTCCCAATGAGTAAGGGAACCTGAAAGTTCGAAAGTTCTGTCCCACCCGTCCGGCCCGTCCCGTCTGTCCCGTCCGTTCCGTCCGTCCCATCTGAATTATTCTGTCCGCATCATCCGGCAAACGATGACCACGTTGAAATGTGCCTGATTGTCTCGAGTTGCAGGTATCCTTGACCTAACATTAAAAGTCACATTTGAGTCAGAGCCACTGAAGTCGAGTAGAGTAAGGCTGCCTGTAAGTTGAGCGGCACCCAAAGGAATTCATATAAACTAGCAGTGAGCGAGGGAGTGCCGCCTTGGAGCTAACCATGCCTCCGGGCCTGTTGCCAGCATAGGGTAGAGCAGAAAGTCCGTTAGCATAAACAACGCCAAGTAACAACGAGCAACGAGCAAGGCGTGATACGCAACCGGCAAAGCGACACCCAATTTCCAAAGCCCAACTTCCAACGGAGAATATATTCCGAGATTTCGGAGGCGTCCCGGATAACCAAATTTAGGGTGGGACGGATGGGACGGTACGGACGGATGGGACGGATGGGACAGGACGGACGGACATTTCCAATTTTCCGGTATATGTCGGAAATTCCTAATTTTGGTTGGCATATCTTAAAATAGCGTGCAAGGTCCCAATTTGTCAGTGGCATTGCGGTCCGGTTGCAAGGGATCCCGAAAATTATGGAAGCTGCTTGCAAGCGATACAGACATTCTTCCAAGACGGTCCCAAGACCATTCCAACGCAAGGTCACGATTTTGAAAACAACTGAAAACACCCCTCATTGGAAGGTCATTGCAAGTCACATGATATCATTCCAAGCATTTCGAGGACTTGTAAGGACGGTCTGATTCTTTTAAGGTAGCGATTTGAATTACAAGTTGTACAAATTACTAAATACCGATTTTCTGATGTTTCGTACCTTCTACTGGGGCATTGCACCAGGTCAAAACCTTCAAAAGCGGCTCTAAATCCTGCAGAAGAATCACGTCAAGTACAATAAATGTGAATAGATAGACAAGCTCACCTCTAATAGACCGACATGAGACACGGGGCATTCACGGCGAGAGTGATATGCACCGTTTCAGCGTCAAGTACATAAACGGAATCGGTACCGGCTATTGATAGGACTCCCCAGTCATCCTGGTGCCGTTTGTTCGAGGAAATGGGAGTGGCAGTGGCGGAGGATGTAGATGAGAGACATCTGATGGTGAATAGTGATTCATTGCTTTGTCGATGGGCCAGAGGCAAGCTATCAATATGCATAATGTCAGTACTAAGCTTGGCTGAAGAGTTCAACAATTCAAACGCACCTCAATGTCAGGTTCAGATGTCATGCTGATTGTTGGGTGGCTAGGGTGTCGCTACCACTGAGGAGTTTTATTAAATTGGAGAGAAGCTAGAGAGATTCTGGAGATGGAATTCTAAGACAAACGAGAGATGATTGTGGTTGAAGCGAAGTGTTGCAAGCCTAAGCGAAGACAAACTTCAACATTTGTTTGGCCTTGTATTAATATATCCATTAATGGAAGTTCCTTCTGTCATCAGACACGTCGTTGAAATCACATTTGAAGTCCATACACAGTCGACAAAAGCATGTAGTTTGATAGAAAGTCTGTACTAATGTAAGCTAATTTTGGTGATAGAGCGGTGAGGATGCTTCATTTGCCCTTCCGGCCTGACCGCCTTACAACACAGCTTCATCTTCACCCTCCGCAGTTGTCTTGCCTTTGCGCCTGCCTTCGGTTTTGCGCGTGCTTTAGTTGGAGCAGGAAGGTCAGATTCAGCAAGATCCTGATGCCTAAGATTGAGTTCATCCATGCAGTAGTGATAGATTCTGAACTTCGAGCCATATTGATGACAGGAGGAGCTGTTACTACAGGGGGAGCTGCAATAGGGGGAGCTGCAACAGCTTGAGGGGGAGCCGAAATTGAGGGAGCTGGAATTGAGGGAGCTGAAGTATGGTGAGACACAGGTAGTAGCTCATTGACTTGGACATTACCGCTATTAGTATTGTCATTAGCATGTCGTGACGGGATTGGTGGTGTGCCGTCATCAACAACCGGTTCTTCTAGTTCATCTTCTATTGCGCGATTGAAGTCTTCTTCCCATGTGTGACCCAGTCCGTCATCATTGAGAGCAGTAGAAGGGGGAACATAAGACGAAGTTCCTGAGAAAAGGGCATCATTGAAGAATGTGATGACCTGGTGCGCCCAGGCACCTCCAGTCAGTAAACGCTGACGGTAGAAGTTGTGGTATTCGCGGTACGGAATCTTCGTAGTGTCACCAATTTCAGTGAGTTCTGCATCACCAGAGAGTAGGAAGATTGCCTTGTATGAGAATAAGTCACGACTCTAACAACCACACAAAACTGATTTGGACTCACCACGACAGCAGCAGCAGCAATCATACCTGGCGTTATAGCTCGCAATTTCCAGATCTTGGCTTTTGTCCTAGAAGACGCAGCGCCTGTAGGTGCCAATGACGACTTGCTGAAGAGCGATACTTTCAAGACACCTATAATCATATTGAGTGTGTTTAGCCCGTATTGAAGTATCGAGCAAAAAGAGATGTACCTGCACGAGCTTTGCAGTTTTCAACAACTGATGGGTACTGGATTATCAGGTCTAGGAAAAAGCACAGGTGCGAACTTTGTGTACTCTCCATGGGGACTCAGTAGAAGAGGGCGACAGTTAGGGTCTTCATTTCGTTTGTAGCCGTATGAAGATGCTCGCGTTGAGACCAAAGATTGCACTTGCGCATGATTTGACGTCAGATGCCATTTTGGAATGAGCGTTGCTGACGCCCCTACCAAACTATTACATTGATTGTCATTAAATGATTGGAATGTAAGAATGGATAGGCATACCTGAGATCCGAAGTTTTGATAGCTCATCAATTCACGTTCTTCTTCAGGAATGAACTTGAAGAGCTCGGCCCTCACACCATCCTCCATCGAGACTCCTGTAAGCCAACGCTCCTTGCTATTGAGGTCGATGTCTGGACAGGTGCGAGCTGACAGCGGGGAAAAGTTCGATGTTGATCCAAAGGCAGTGGGTTATCGAGTATTTCCTTCCTCCCAAGAGCTCGTATGGTGTCTTCCTTTGGCCGCCATCGCAGAGATCATTCGAAGTAAGGTTTACGACGCTTGCGGCCTTTAGGTACGTGCAGCCTCAAGGAGTGCATTCTTCTTTATAGCCTCACGGCTTTACCACACAAGTCGAGCAATAGTCTCTGCGAGATCTCTAGGGCCCTAGTAGTAATAATCTGTGGTAAGAAAATGTGAACTTTCTAGCAATACAATGACTGACCTGCGCAGCTCTTGAGATGTCGCATCTGGAGGTGCAGGAGCAAGTGCAGCGCGGACCTGGATGAGCTCTGCGTCCGAGTCGTCTGAATCAGAATCCGACGAGAACTCTGGATCAGTGCCCAAGCTCGACTCTATAGTTGCTGCGCAATGGTGTGCTGATGGCATGATGGCAGACAACTTCGAGTTGAACTCAGGATAGAGCTGGGAGACTAGGATTATTAGTGTCAGTGATACATTGTGATTATATCAGTCAAAATTCGCTTACCACTGATACAGACATTTAGGCCTTGAGGGTACCGCATGTTGCAACACGTACAAAACCTGAACATGAGTAATATTAGCTGTGGCATTAGAATGGACCTACTACTTAATGGGGACGCACCATGTGATACGAAGCATGCGACGTCGACAGGGCATCCTTATTACATCGAAGATGGTAATACGATTGGAGTTTGGTCAGTATATGAGTTGCGGATGCGAACAAAAAACAGAATCCAAGGCACAATAATAGAGTCCTAGGGTATAGTAAGATGAGAAAGCCGTTGGATAGAGGTGAAGGTGAAATTGATGATACAGATGGGATGGGAGTCTCAGAGCGCCGTGTGATAGAGGTGAAGGTGAAATGGATGATACGGAGGAGATGGAGAGTCCAGTGACAAGATGAGCTATGTAGAGTGCTCTTGGTAGAGGTGAAGGTGAAATGGATGATACAGAGAAGATGGAGAGTCCAGTGACGAGACGAGCTATGTAGAGCGCTCTTGGTAGAGGTGAAGGTGAAATGGATGATACAGATGGGACGGGGGAGTGCTGTATGTTAGAGGTGAAGGTGAAATGGATGATGCAGATAGATGGGAGAGCGCTGTGAGATAGAGGTGAAGGTGAAATGGATGATGCAGATGAGATGGGAAGTCCAGTAACGAGCTATGGAGAGCGGTCTTGGTAGATGTGAAGGTGAAATGGATGATGCGGATGGGATGGGAGAGTGCTGTGTGATAGAGGTGAAGGTGAAATGGGTGATACAGGTGAGATACAAAGGAGAGTGCTGCTCATATCCTGGCTTGTTATTGCAATAGTCATAAATGTAAATGTTGAACATACCATTAATTAGAACATATATCTCTGCGAACGAAGGAACATGTTGGAGTCCACATAATCAACGAGAAAAAAGTCGCCCCTTGTACTAGCGAAGTCTGGAACAAGTAATGCACCACAAATAACCAAGTGAAGCGTAATAAACTCCGTCGAAGCGAGTGGTCAGGCACAAAGACATCTCAGTCGCAAATCTTGATCTATAGCGTGTTGTGGGCCTATCGGAGCATCCATAGGTTGAACTAGGGCGAGATCCAATGTTTGACTGCCAATTGATTGCTTGAACATGAATAAAATGCGAACAAAAATGTTCTTATTATTCCCATCTTTGTCCTGGGTGCAAACAAGGGCACAGTCACGTCGTTCACGGCCATGAAAGCTCGGGTTGCAGCGCAGGTGGTTGGTAGTAAGCTTCCAGTCCACAACAGACTCGTAATTGACTTTGAGATATCAGTGTTCTTGAACCTGGAGACATGTTTGTGAACAATGGCGACTCGTGGGAGTGAAATATGGAGTTACTGACCGTATCTTGTGCTGAAAGCGTCAGCCACGTTTTGCCATCAGGTAATGGTATATTGTATGCAGGTAGAGCGTGATTAAGGAAGGTCGAGAGCTTTTTGCGGAACTGCCCAAAGGCACGGTTGGACACATTGTCGTTTTCAAGCTGTGCAAAGGTTATTGCGGACTGAGGAGCGCCACCCGCCAAAAGACCAATCATCCAGGTCCTCTGTCTCAAGCTCTCTCTCCGAAAGTATGGCCTTGCGTCGTTCATCATCGAAATGATCGATGCGGTTGCGGAGGACTACAGAGACGAAGGTTGTGTGGTCAAGCCTGAGTATCTAGATAGCAGGGGTAGTCAACGAGTCAGTTAATGTGAAGTGTGATCAAACATACCTGGTTTGCGATATCTTTGCCATTTGTTTGCAGTTTATAGGCCCTCTTGATCGGCCCATGATGCTTCTCGTTTGGCCGCGTACTAAAGTTTCGCGCAGCTCCTTTTGCCCTAATGTCAGAAAATATGTGCCTCATTGAGTGCGCCTTCGGAAAATTCCAGTTTTTTGTCGCTTCGTCACCGAGAACTTTGATATATTGCTGTTTGAAGTATTAGTGTCAAGTAGCGCATAAGTTGGTCTAGATACTAGGACTTACATCTAAGCACTTCTGGAAAACGAGAATCTCGGCCTCCCCAGCTGCAATAGTGCTTTCTGTGTGAACATCAAATGTTATATACATGTAGGCATGGAGATAGCTGGCTATGCACTTTAGAAGTGCATAACCAGCTTCGTCATCTTTGCGTGTGAGCACGTTCTGTGTTGTATACAATATTTGCTATCAAAACCACAAGAAATATGTCAGTTATAGCTTCAATATGATATAGTGCCCGAAAACGTACCTTAGATATATCCAGGAACTTGTTGCCATCGGAAAAACTGATGTTTGTAACGTGGTCGAAGTGGTTTAGGTTTCGCCATCGCAGAAACGCAGCGAACCTATAGAATGAACAAAATACAAGACGAGGATGAAATAAGGATGTAAAGAGACTCACTGGTCATCAGTCGTCTTCTCAGCAGTACGTCCCAGTGTTTTCAGGTGGGCCTTGACTTCCTCGAACATGTGATCGTCAAACAAACCACTGTCGTAAGCGTGCAAGGTATCTTGCGAGAGTGCGTCATGCGGGCTGGACCGTTCAACAATCCACAAAGAGTTCTGACGGTTATGAGACCATTTAGTTTTGAGAGCGAGAAAGTTGAATGAATCACTCACATCGACAGGCCTTAGACTCTGCTTTTTTAGTGCCGCCTCACCAGCGGTACGGTCCATGTTCCACAATTGGACGCAAGCTTGTGCATCATCAATGACGCGGGTAGGGTATATTGTAGAATGGTCGGTGAGCTTGTCCTTCGGGACAAGGCAAATAGGGCAAGGACATGCAGAGTTGAACCCTCGTATCAGGGCCATCACACACCTGATAACGTAGTGAGTCACAGAAACAATGTGAAACTACTAATCACGTACTGCTCTTCGTAATCGGCCGATAAAATCAGTATTAGTGGAAATAACCAGCGTAGAATTCCATCATAGCATTGGTGCGCGAAGCCAGTTTTGGAGATGAGACTGAGGGTTTCGAGGAGAATCGTGAATGATTTGTGCCATACGACCTTCTTTAAATTCGTATAGGACAGCTTGCCATCCTTGTCTGAGTCTGCAGGAACCTGCCACAAGGGCAAAATGATTAAGTGTGAATTGATGTCTTCAAGTATCGCAAAGACTTACTATTGGCAACCAACCCACTAAGCGTCCTCCTCCAGGACCATCAACATTCCTGATTTCAACAGGCAGATTCCCGCAGCGTGCGATTACTGGGTATGCCTTGACAGCACCGGCCGACGAAAGGTGCGTTTTGTCAGCATACAGTATAAATGCGAATGGTGCACCATTATGGGGCAAAGATGTCTTGATTGTACACTTTAATTAGTCACAACGTCATAAGAAAAATGAAAAGCTCACTTGTAAGTCCCACCAGCGGTCTCCTGTCCATGGCTCAGTGGAAGAAGCGTTCAAAATCAGTTCCATCATGTTTGTACAGTCGCTGGGCATCCCAAACGAACTGCAGTGCTAGCAAGGGGTTATCCAAGAGGTCCAATGCCCAGTCCCATAGTGGTCGTGAATATACTTCATACTCGATGTTTTCCTTCTTATACTCAACAGGTACAACATGTCTTTCAAACTGTTACAATATGGTCATATATATATGCAAATGTGACATTATGCTATCGCTCTTACAGGAGTCAGTTGGCTGGATGCCCTCGTCCATGCAGCTGACACGTCATTGTGAGTTTTGAAAGTAAAGTTTGTGCGACCATCCGCAACTCTCCAGATGAACTTGAGTAGTTCATTAGTTTGGTCTTTGCCCAAGGCAGCTCGGTGGGCAAGTTCAGCAAACTCGAAGTCTGCACGACAGCTGAAAGGCTGCCATGGCTCGTCATCGATGACAGGCGATTGTGTCGTCTCCTGGCTTATTGGTCCCGTAAATGGAAAAGCTCTCGACAATCGGAGCGCAACCACTGTGAGGGTGATATTCGGTCTTGAATGTGTCGAGATGATCTGAGGTAGTTGCTGTGGCTACCGAAATTGGAGCAGGAATGTTATTACCCATGCTGATATCAGAATCAGAACCTGAATCATGTTGAGATAGAGTCAAAACAAAACAGAAAGAATATTACATACGTAGCCGTGTGTCTTTCCCGACACTTTGCACATCATCGAGGCCTTCAAAACCTGCGTCATCATAATGGTAATGTGAATCTGCTGCAGGATGGAGAATCAGCTGCTGAACCAGCCTCTTGAATGACTGGCGTGGTATCTCGGGCAGCCTCATGAGTGCGCCCTTTATTGCTGCGATGTTCTGATGAATCAAAGTTGATGATTTTGAATATAATCAGTGATTGAAGGTAATTTAGACGACATTGAGACGTACTGTGTTTTCCTTCCTTCAAAATTGACCTGGCTGCGGCCCGTGAAAACTCTCTATCCTCTTTCTTCTTTTCCTTCCGTCGCAAGCAGCTTTGTTCGTGTGATTTGAGGCCTCAGGATGTGTACAGTTCATTACAATACTGACAAGCAACCTTGAGAGATGATACCGAAGAGCAGGTGTATTTGCGCCCTCCTGTGGATCTTTGGGGAGCCATTGATGGTAAATAGAAACAGTATAGACAGATGAAATAAGCAAAGGTATCGTTCAGGAAGAAATCATCGATGGATGGAAGATAGGTGGTATGAGATTAAAATCTGACCTTGATAGTGTAAGCCGCTTGCAAGACACAGTTGTTTCCCTGGCAAGTTACCAAAAGAAGGTCACTTTCCTTCCAATATGCTATGAATAGGTCACTTCGCTTTCAATACGCTTTCAATAGGTCACGCTTCCTTGGAAAAGTCTTCCATCACGGATGCAATGCAGTTAAATGACGTCTCAATTTAGAAGCCTTGCAAGGCACCTATGGGAATTTCCGACAATGCCGAAAAAGATACGGTTCGCAAAATCGGAAATTTTGAAAATTTAAATCTGGAGGCGTTTGAATGAATCAAACTTTCGGGGGGTGGTCATGAATCTGCACGGCAACTTGGGGCAGGATGATGGTACTGACGGAGAAGGTAGCGCCCAATGGATAGGTCTTCAATATTCAATGTATGCTTTAAAGGGTATGGGGTATCTATGCATGCAGGTACATGGTAACAACGCAGGTTTGATCATCAAAGGACAAACGAATACTGGTCAAAGGTCCCTGGCTTTAAAACACAGCTAGAGTATTTCTACGGTACTGACGTCCATGTTATCAATTGAAGTGATGTCTTCGACTTGTGCAACGATGTTATGGTCCGACGCGATCCTCTTGTATTCTCCAATACGCTGCTGCGCTAGCAAAAATGCGTCGAAAGGCTGTCCGAGGCGAACCATCAACCGCAACGCTCGTGAACCAGGGTCCTCTTCAACAGGCGAACTGCCGAGTAACTTGTCAGAGTCGTCTGTCGGGGACTCGGGCTCGGTCCAATCTTCTATGCTCTCTGCATCGTCTGAAAAGTCAAGCTGCTCTGCAAAGTCAGGTACCCCGAGGAGATACCGGTCCCATGGACGGACAAGTAAGAACGTCTGTCGAATGGGCTTTGCCCGCGAGAACTGGACTAGGGTCTCTTCAGTGGTGACTAGCAGGTCGTGAAGCCCGTCTGCCTTGATTCCGTACGTGATAGGAGTCTCCTGGGCTAGACCGCGCCTCCGTTTGACTTCCGTGACACGGAATGAAATGCAAGGCAGATGAAGTCTGCAGTTTGCGAAGCGAGGAGCTCTCAGCTGTTCAAGCTGGTCATAAAATTTCAATGCCAGATCTATAGGCACGGTTTGTCGCAGTGAAGAGACCTGTGTGTGAATATGATATTCGGACAAAGATGGAAGGGTGCGTGGAGGAGTGGTGTAAGAGGTGATATGGGCCGGAAGACAGCTATTGAACTCGGAAGGTTGTCCGACCCAGTCGAGAACCATAATGTCGCCTGATTGAGCAACGATCTCCTGCAATAGCCGCCCAAGCGCACGTTGCTTCTTCTCGCCATAAATGACAGGTAGGGTGATGCCGAAGATGCCAAATAATGAGTACGCAACGTCTTCCTGCACAGTGGTGACGCGCTTCGATGCCCATTGCAGTTTCTCTCGTGCGCCACTCATACCTGGATGAAAGGTCACCAGGGTCCGTGCATCTATGCCCGTCGCATCCTCTAACTCCCTCATGATGGCAGGGGACTCTTTGTGATTGGGGGAGCGATCACCTAGATACAACGTCCAATCCTTCTGATAAAAGATCACAACTTTCGGAGCGACGAATTCTTGAAAGGTCCACCCTCGTTCATTCCAAACACTCCTCGCCAGTGCACCGGGCTGGGATGAAGAAGGGACATCGCATAGGTAGACGATCGTAAGTGCTGAGCAGCGATACCAGACGAACATGGAGTTGACCGATTCTTGTAGCTCTGTATTACTCTTTTTGTCGATGCAGCATGTGTCCATCCATGCCCAGCAATACCCAGCATCACGAGCGATTTTGCAGAACGACTGCAGTTTCACAATGCCGCCAATTTCATTCAACTCGTACACAATTTTGTCCTGGATGTCGTGCAGCAGTGCCTCCGTCTCTTCCCACCTGTGTGATAGCAGGACGCAGCGGAAATACGTCGCCACTACGTCTCTGATGCGCTTCATTTGGAGGTCTGAATGCGTCGTTGTCGATGACAAAAGCTCCTTGTACTCTTGACTCATTTTGAAGGAGTTTATCTGTGCCGCTCGATCGCACAGAAGGCCCGTGGAGGTGTTAAGTAGACGAAGTGGGGCGTTTTCGAGTTCAACCCAGACTGCTCTTTGAATAGCGTCTTCTGCTTCTGATGGACTGAGATACTGCTGGTGCAACTCTGTAGAACAAGATAGGCATTTTGAGACGATGCAAGATTGTTCCATGGCTTACCTCGCATCTGCGCTTCGGGAGCATCGTCCAACTTGGACAACATGATTGCGAAAGCCTCGATGGCTTCGTCGTAACGTTGCGCACCACGCAGCGCTGTATGTGTTAACTGGTATCCAACGTGGGATGAAGGATTGAGTTCGATGACCTATGCGTCGCTGAAGTCAACATGGGCTACAAAATCGTAGACGCCATCGCACCTTTTGCGCATCGAGAAGTGCTTCCATCCACAGACTTTTCCCCAACTTCGCCTTACTACGATTTGCAAAGACGGCATCGGATGGAGAAGTTAGGTCGATCGCTACCGAGTATAAGTCGATAGCACTATCAAAATCGCTTGCAGCGAGGGCGGCATCTCCATTGGTAAGAAAGGGTGCACTGCATTTTTGCGTGAAAGCTGAGTAAAATAGGGTAAGGATTGTAGCCTGCGCGATATTACGAACTCCAGACTTGCCGTTGGACCATTCAAGGCAGCTGGCCTTCGCTGTTCCGTCGATATTTTCCATCATGTATCTGTATGATTTCACGGCGTCTTGAAGTTTACCTGCCAAAAGAAGTGCATCACACCGTTTCTGGTGTGCAACGAGCCACGACGATTTGAGATCCCAGCCGAAGAGCTGGACAAGGGAGTCAGCTATGAAAAGCATTATGTATGCATCATCTTGGCGCACCACTACCAAGTCTTCGTAGACGACATGAATGAATGTCGACGAGAAAGTGCCGGAGTTGATAGCGGCAGTGAAATGGTCTGCGGCTGTGTCGTGTCGTGCACCATCCAAGGCTTTGATTCCGAGTCGAACACGTAGATATGCCTGGTGTGCGAGTGGCAAAGATTAGTATTGATGACTCAGCATCGCTGCATGATACTTACTTCCACAATATGACATGCGCGAGTATCGGCGTTCGGACAACCGTCAGCGAGTTCTTTGAGGAGTAGGTTTGCCTCGTCATATTGATCTGCATTGAAGAGGGCAATGGCCTGAAACACAGAGTGAAGCAAGGAGTGTGCGAGATAAATGTAACCTACCTTGATCAAGAGCAAAAAATGGGTGGTTTGTGAGTCTTGGTCCGTGTACATGGATGCAACATCAAATGCTGCCCTCGCATCTGGGATGCGACCTTTTCCGCAGAGGGCAATACCCTTAGATATATAGCCTGTTAATGAGGGCTGAATGGTGATGGACTATATCGAGTTAGCCTTTCGTAAGGGTGGCCATGATTAGTCTATATCCCACCTTGAATGCATCCTGAAGGGCGCGGTCCCAGTCGTGTTTTCGTGCCATGACGAATGAGCGATGGGCGTAGGAAGTGTGGTTTTTGGCATCAGTATTGATATCTTGCGTGAGTAGTTCTTCGGCGGTAGATAAATCTCCATCTATGCATGCATCCCGGGCTGTCGTGATGGCTAGGATCTGCACGCAATATACTTAATTTGTAGTAGTATATGAGTCAAGGACGAAAACATGCCTTGGAGTGATGGGCGTAGGAAGTGCGGTTATTCGCATCGGTGTTGATATCTTGCGTGAGTATGTGTTCCGCGGCAGATAAGTTTCCACCTATGCATGCATCACGGGCTGTCGTGATGGCAAAGATCTGCACGAAACATGCTCGATTTGTGGTGTGTGAGTCAAGGACGGAAACATGCCTTTGGATGACCCGGAATATCCTGAGGTGCCCACTCCGAGATCATGTTATCGCCACCTCCGCTGAGGATGTGCTTGCTGTCCGCGAAGAAAGTGACGCATGTCGGAATGGATGAGTGCTTGGCGATCATAATGGTTCGTCGGTCTGAGAGCTGCCAGAGACGGACATGTTGATCATCAGATGCAGAGGCGATAAGTGTGCCAGCAGGATTGATGGCAATGGCAGTGATATTGCTGGTGTGACCAGTCCAAGGATCGCCAACTTGCTCCCAGGTCAATGTATCCAATTCGTATATGGTAGGATCGTCCTTATAGCCGCCTATGAGGAGGCGTGTGCCATCGGGTGTCCACGCGAGTGAGGAGTTGCATGCTGTGTGACCCTGGAAGGATGTGATGCATTTCCTCGTACCTAAATTGTAAATTTTGATATTGTTGGATGCTGCGATGGCAAGAAGCTCTCCAGACGGCGAATACCGCACGCAGAGGACATTGCTATCACACCAGATTGGATC